ATTTTAACGCTGGCTATAATAAACGAACATCGACCGGACTCGAAGCCGACTAACGACGCGCGATCGTCGCCATCGACATTCGATTAGCCGCAGAATTTATAGGTTACAGGAACGCGGGGATATCCGTTAACGAACACGGTCGTTAGGAGGAGGGTGGAACGATCGCGTGAAAAATTGCACGGAAATCGAGCGATTAACCGGGAGAACGGACGACGAGGAATAATCCTTGCGACGACGACGAACGTCGACGCGCGCGATAAATTTCGGTAGGGACTACTCGCACACGCAGATTCTCAAGGTCCGATATGGAAATGCCAGTGACAGGCTTTCTCGCAGACTTCTTGGTTTTCGGGGGTGGGGGGAAGAATCGGACGGGCGGTACGAAGAGATTGGTAAATAGGTTAATCTTGATAGGTATGGCGTACGGAATTCCCGACGGGATTCCTAAATCAGCGACGCGGTGCTGCCCGCCGAGGAACCGATAGATCGATAATCTCGCGGCCGTCGGTGTTCCGCGACGATCGAGAAACAACGAGTCGCGCGTACCGCGACGGTGGCGGCGGCGGCGACGTAATCGACGTAATCGACGTAATCGACCTCTCGCGACCGACATCGGTATCCGCGTCGACGTTCGGCGTCGATAGGATCGCGATCGCGCGCGGCTTTTCGCAGCTACTTACTTCCCTGCCGGCGTTTCAAACGTTTCGCAGTTTTCGCGGCATAAACACGAGGGCGTTCGAACGGCTCGCAGCAACTAGGTTAACTGGAGCGTCCGCTCTCGGAACGGTGTCTTTGACACGCACACATGCACGCGCGACCCGCGCCACGAACGCACATGCACACACGTACGCGAGCGCGAGGAGACGGAAAGAGCCGCGAGAGAGAGAGAAAGAAAGAGAGAGAGAGAGAGAGAGAGAAAGAGAGAGACGGAGAGAGAGAGAGATAGAAAGAGAAAGATAGGATATGTTGTGCGTTCGTTTACTCACCCGCGGGGCAGCTGATCGGGACTGACGACGACCACGTCGGCGGCGCCGATGACGATGACAGTTTGTAACCTTCGATTCCACCGTGATCGAGGCTGCCACTCGACTGGTCGACACGTCGTGGTATCATACGCGACTAAAGGTGAACGGTGCACGGCGACGGCGACGAAGGCTACGACGACGGCAGCGGCGACGGCGACAGCGACGACGACAGAGGCTAGGACACGGCGGCCCGTACGAGGGACAAGCTCGCGGAAGCCTCGACGACTCGGTAACGACACTCACTAACCAACGCGAGGATACCAGCAAACGAAACGACAGACGGCCGCACGATGACAACGACCAGCGACCACCTCGCAAAGGGTAGAAAACGTTTCCCTGCTTCCACCACCGACACCGCCCTCGCGCCTCGCCACACTCGCCGCGGCAACGCGCATGCGCGACGCCGCCTTGACTCTACGCGTGCGCATCCGTGCCTCGCTTCGCCTCGCTCCGCCACGCTGCGCCGTACCGCGCCGCGCCTCGCCTCGTCTCGCCTCGCGCTGCCTCACCCCGAGGAACCACGAACGACCGCACACGGTGGATCCGTGGCGAATTTACCCGAACTACTCTGCAACATTCATATTTCCAACCCTAAGGTATCGCGTCGTTAAAACATAATAAAGCGACTCTGAAAACCTAACGGAGTTACCCGTCTCTCGGGAGAGACTGAATTCTTTCGTGCTCCGAAGGTTTAGAGGCCTATTCGCTGCGCCACGTTCCGATAAACACGCCGCGCGCACATATCCGGTACTGCACCGTTCTTTTTTTTCAGATCTTTCGCGAGATTCGCCGAGATTCGTGTAATATACAATGGTTTCCTTTTATTTTCAGGAATCGTTTTAGAAAAATTCCTCCTCGAATTCGCCCGCGTATCGCGAACTCGGACATAAAAGAAATGCAGAGAAATTTGACGGCCGCGCTTGCGGGCACCAACGATACGTCGGAGACTAATTTTCGTAGCAGCTGTAACAACAACAGCCACGGGTGTAAACACGCGAGACATTTTTTACGAGAAACCGAGTACATTTTCTTTACGCGGAGTAATATTTAGAATTTGCGCTCTGCATTTTGCAGGTTTCCGCCGAGGAGCGTGGCCGCTTCGAAATTCAAGAAAGAAAATAAAAAGAGCCGGCGTTAAGAAGAGGCGCGACGAGTTTGAATGCGGAACGCTTTAATTCGTTGCCGCGACTCTTTTTGTTCCGATCGAGGATAGACCGAGTTACACGTCGAAAGCGACCGACTTATCGCAAATGAAATCTAGCTCTCGGAGAGATTTTAAAAACGACGCCTCGTCGGGCTCCGGCGACCACGGGAATGCAAATTAGGTGTAATTTGAAGTTGGCGCGCAGCGATGACCGGCTCGGTCTTTGCCGCGCGTTATCTCGTCGGAGGCACTTCCGGCACCGGCTTTATGAAAATCGTTTCATTCGCGAAAGCGACGGTAAATCGTCTCCCTGGAAAAACCGGAACAGGAGATTATCGCGCGACTTTCTGTGCGCAACGATTGCTCTGTTTACTTTATAATTAATGTCGATATTAAATTAACGGTATAGCTGTTTCCTTACAGAATTCGTGCGGTTTCCGTGCGACGGAATCGAGAGGAATGAACGAGCACGCGTGGAACGTCCACTGGTTCTTCGATATCCCCTCGGGTACGGAACGCTAATTTCGTGGTAAACGATGGATTGTTCGTAAGTCCGATGCTCGGTTACGTGTCCTCCTCGGGCTCGCAGGCGTGGGCGTTTTCGCGTCGCTGGAGCTCGACGAAGCGATACAAAAACGAACCCGAGGCGAGCCGATTTCGAATCGACCTGCGACGAAGCCCTTCGTTAATGCAGATTCGATTAAAGTCCGTGAGCTACGAAAAAGTTTTCCAATCAGACCGGTACGTGCCCCGGTGAGGCTTTCTTCCCTCGTTGACCGATTGGAACGAGAAAGAGAGCCGACGACGAGGCGTGGGACGGACGAGGAGAAAGGCGCCCACAGTGTCCACAAGGATATCCTTCCACGAGGAATTGTTCGGCCGAGCTTTAACGCGGCGCGGCGGCCGCAGCCCGCCTTTCCTATAACTTGACTGCTTGACAGTTCTTCGCTCGACCTTCTCCATCGTTGTTCTTCCCCCGGTTTTGATACTTGAAACTTCTACCCTGCCGGAAAACCGAAGCGGCTAAGATTATTAATAATAAGAATAAGAGCCGAACGGTCGAGCCTCTCTCCAAATGGAACCAGCTAATTATACAGGCCGCTTCGAAACTTTCTATATTATATATTGTACAGGCTGTCGCGGCTGGGAATCCTTTTCAACTGCCGGGTCACCGAACACCCGGGCACCCTCCAGTATTCCGCGCTTTCGCGTCTCCGGAAAGATCTCGGACAATGGTCGCCGATTCGAAGTACAGTAATTTCTGCCAGAAATGATCGGAGCTCGGAATTGAAACCGACAGGGCGGCTCGTTTTTATAGAAACTCGGGGCAGTCGGCGATGAAAGGCAGCGGCCAGCACGCCGGTGCGCGTTAATACGAACGCGTAACAATGCTGGAATAAAAAGGATGACATAACTTTTTTATTTCCTTGTACCAGCAGCGTGTGCACTAGCGCAGGAAAATTCACGGCAACCCGACATTTGGCATTTCCGGGAGAAATTACCGTATCAACAACGAGAATCGCATACTTCTCTTCGTCTCCGCTCTTCCGACTTTTTACAACAATTACATCGTACTTCAGATTTTCAGAACGATTCCATCTTTCCTCGAAGTCCCCGGAGAGACGTTCCTCCGGCCAGTCGAACGAACATTCCCAGAAATTAGGTGTTCCACCGAGGTACAAGTTTACGCGTCCCGGGAAAGCTGTCTGGCCAAGGTGCGAGCGGCGCGGTTGGTTCTACGAATCGATGCTAGAAAAATGTTGGTCCGTGAACAGGGGGGAAGGTCGTTATCGACGGCGGTTCCCCCAGGAAAGAAGCAGAAATTGCTAAGTACTGTGAAATTCCCTCGTAACAACGAGTGGGTATAAATATACGGTCGGGCCGGTAGGCGTCCCGACGCTCGTTTCCACGGGCAACGCGGGCCAATGGATCAAACCGGATCACATCACGTGTTTTAAAGCTCCGCGAGCCCACCTTTATCGAGCAGCATTTAGTCGCTGCCAAAGCACGCCGTATCACGATCAGTTTTTATCTCCAATCATGACCGGCATCGCGATTTAGAAACGGAAACAACGCGGGCCGTCCGTCGCGCCGCCTTCGACTCGGACCGCAACACTTTTAGGTGAGAACCAAAAGCCAACCGATTAGCAGTCGTCGTCGTCGTCGTCGTCGACCATCTCGGTTCCGGCGGTGGTTCTGCCGTTGAACCATCCATCGTTTCTCGAGCCTTTTCGTTCGTCGAACACGCTTGCTCGCGCGAGGGTTACAAGCTTTACGAGACGACACGGGGGAAGAGGTAAAATTTCCGAAAATAGAACCGAGCGTAGGAAAATACGGAATAGTAATTCCGGGGTTTACGCGGATGAATTCGGAGCACGACGACGCGGCGAAACACCTGCCGCTGCGTCCCGAGGAACATCTGCGTATCGCGGCACGAGAATCGAACCCTCGCCGAACAAGATTGATCTGTAAAGTTCGAAATGCTCGGCCGCGACCCGGCGAACGATCGGATATCGCTGCGACGAATAAAATAGGATGCCGGTAACGCGCGCGTTATAAATCGTAAACTGTCGGATTAACTCGTCGCTCGATCGTCGCTCGATCGTCGCCGTTCCGGAATCGAAATGGTCGAAAAGTCCTCTCATCGGCGTTTAAGACGCGTCCGAGCACGGCCGGTCGCTAACGCGTTTTCGAAGAAACCAGAGAGTCGACGACGACTTCCGCGACCGTCCGTGGACGATTGAAAAATTTTCATCGCGAATCGATTCGAACCTGTTGACCGAGCGCAGAAACTACTGGCCGATCGATTTCTCGGCGTACGAAGCCCGAATAAGTTGTGGTTTGCGGCGTCTCCGATTCAATGAACAGGAAATATGAAAAATCAATGAGACCGAGCAGAGAGCCGCGCGACGGCCAACTGCCTCGGCCACGGTCTCGCCCGGTTAACAGGTTGAATTCATTTCGAATCAGAACCGATCGGATTTTAAGTCAAAGGTCGAACCCGCAGGGAGGAGCCGTGAGAATTTAACCGTGGAAAAAGTTCGTCGGTGACCGAATGGCCGCGATCGAAACGAGCGGCGACGTCGTCGTCCCGCAATTGTCCCCGCAGGACCGCTCGACGATTCTAGCCGCGCTCGAAGAGTACACGAACGCTCTGGCCATTTACCGCAACGTTCTGGGAAAGCCACCGGAAGATGATAACGACGTCGCGGACTGCGTTCTCTCCGATACCGAGTACGTTGCACCGATGGCCGCATCGTCAGGGGGGGGCGGGGACTGCGACCCTGCAACAGACGTTCGGAATTAGCTGGATCTTTTAGCCGAATTTCTAGCTGAATTAGATGAAATCTTTTTCTCTCTGCAACCGATTCTTTCGATATTCTCGGGAGACCGTCTCCTATCGTCGACGTAACGGAGCATCGTTTTTCTCGGCCGCGCCGCGCCGAATACAGTAATGTCTCCCTAACTGACGCCAAGATTGCGCACGAAAATGGACAATTTGGAAAGAGGAGCCTCGCGAATTCGAGCCTTGCGACTCGTTTTTATAGTTACCGATAGTCAACGATTACAGAAACATGATGCAAAGCCGGAATAATCGTATCTCCTGTTCCCAAATTGTTCATTTTTCTGCACAATCTTAGCGTCGGTTAGGGAGACGTTACTGTACAGTAATATATTATTACTACAATACTAATATTATTACACTACTGTACAATAATATAATCGTCTCTCTTCTCCCTAAATTGTCCATTTTCGTGGACAACCCGAGCGTCGATTAGGGAGACATTGCTGTAGATCGCTCGGTCTTGCTAAAATCGGACGTTCGAGAATTTCTTGGAACGAAACTAATAGACACGCGAATTTCACGCTCCACGGACGTATCCGATCGATCCTCGAGAAGCGTAGGAAAATTTGTTGCACCTGTTCGGCCGCGCGGCAGGGCGTCGACGGAGAGATTGTTCGAGCGGCGACGGACGCGAGAACGGAGAACAAAAAGGGTGAAGGAAAAGTCGAGGGAAGAATAAGATTCTGTATGCAGCATGCCTGTCCGCGTGGCAGTGACTCGGAACCGTCGGATATGCAGCTCAGTTTCGGTGACGTCGCGTCCTCGCTTTCGCGAGGATCGAGCAACTGAAAGAACAAGCTGCGTCTGCGAAACTTTACGAAGACAGCTGCGACGAGTCCGGGAACGTGCTGTGTTCGATTTCCCGGGGAATTCCTTTCGATTCCATTCGGCTCGACTCCGCTCGGCTCGGCTCGATTCGGTTCAGATCTTTTTCGCTGCACACAAAAGGGGCCCAACTTAGTGTTACGGTATGCCGAGGAACGCGATGTTTCCACCGGCGAACCTGTTAACCGGTGGATTTCCCGATCGAAAACGGCTTCCTGGCTTCCATAGATTCGACCGCGATAAAAATGTCGATATGATTTAACCGGGAACGATTCTCGACCTTCCTCGGATCGAAGAGAATCGACGACTCGACGCAGCGTTTCGCGAACTCCGAAATGCTTTTGTTCGGTCGGAAAGTTGGCCTTCTCGCGGTATCGCGCTGGATTTCTTCTTCGATCAGTCCCGTCTTCAAGATCTAAAAGAAGCACCGCTTCCGATTGTTACCGATCGAACAACTACGGTAATTTCTCCCGGAAAGGCCAAATTTCGGGTTGCTGTGAATTTCCCTGTGCTGGTCCTACGCCTATGCAATTCATTGCCGCGTCGGTGCGGCACGCGGCGCGAATTCCCGGAAGTCTCTCTATTCGTCTTCGAATCTTGGCAGAAGATTAGAAATCGAAAAAGCCGCCTCTTTACGCCGAATTCCTGTAAAAAAACGAGCCGCCGCGAGGCCCGAAGAATCGCGGCTCGGATCTGCCGCGGTTTCGATTCCGACCTTCGAACGTCTCTGGGAGAAATTACCTTATCGGTGTACAGAGAGTTTGGGGAAACGCTGAGTCAACGTATAGGGAAAGTAAACGGCGTTTTCGCCGCCGTGAAAAGTGAGTTTCCATTGAAACCGATAACGTCCTCGCAGTCTATACGCGAGGAAAATTATGGAGGACCTGAAGGAGGAGATACGCGAGAAAGGAACGTTCGAGGTATTGACCCGGGAGGTCGAAAAATTGCTCGGCCAGGAGAAAGCGGAGAGAGAGGAGGAGGAGGAGGGGCCGATGCGAGAGGAGAGCGAGAGACTCGAGAAACTTGCGGAGGAGTTGCGGCAAACGATCGGCCGGGAGAAGATCGCGAACGGGTTGGAGGAGAAGCGGTTACCGAACGAGCTGACCGCGGTACAGGTAGCACGTGCATCGACAAACTGAAAACTATTCTTACGCTTAAATCGCGAGAACGAAGTTGCCGCGACTTCCGGGCGAGCAGTCTCGTTTGTCGAATATTTACCGAAATATTCGAGGCAAAGTATTCCAGTCCGCGAGATTCGCCGATCAAATTGCTTCCGTTGTATCGAGAACCAATTACTCGGTGCATCTTGGCGAGTAGATTTAATTATCGATTAACGCTGCAAATGAAATTCGCCGAGCGATCCGGCGACTCGCGCCGCGCCGCGCCGTATCTCCGCGATGGGCGCGGCGGGCGAGCGTTTTTTAATTCGCGGGCATGTAGTAATTCCACGCGTTTGAAACACAGCGGCGAGAGACAGAGAAACGAAAATTAATTGCGGACGCGGAACTGGATTATGTTACCGCCTGGGAAGCGGCGAGATACGAGCAGAACGCGTTGCGCGCTGCCATGGAAATAGAAAAGTTGGAGAAGCTATTAAACGAGTGCCGCGTTCGCGAGGAAAACGAGGAGCGCGTTCGTAACGAGCGAACCAAGTTCTTGATACGGGATACCGAGGTGAGAGAGTAACAATTATCGACGGAGAATCTGTTCCGCGAAACGCGAAACGGTTTTTCATCGGACCCGCGGCAAACGATTACCTCGCTTCTCTTCGAGCCCTTTTCGCAGGCGTTCGAGAAGAAGACGAAGGAATGGGAGGAACGATACGTCCGGGAGAAGGAAACGTACGAGAAGGAGATCCGTCAGCTACGCATCGAGATATCGACTCGGGAAAAAGAATTGAAGGAACTCGAGGAAGAGGTAGACCAGCTTCGCAAACAGCTCGGCGGCTCGCTCGCTTTCCCGCTTTTCCGTTTCAGGCGTCGTTCGAGCGAATCTTATTAAGCAAAATCCCGACGACCGAGTTATATTACTCTTTGAAAAACGAAGGTTTAACCTGTTGATACGAGACCCGATACCCGCGGTTAATCTCCCTGTTCCACGAGTTGCCGAGATGTTGGACGTTGTTCGCTCCGAACGTACCCCGACCGTGCCGTTCGAGTTCGAGGGCCATTCTTCGCGGTGCTGCCTCGGAATCTCTTTAAAGTTACGTTTCCCGGCACACTCGCAGCTGCTAATTGGTAGACTACGAATCCTGCGAAGATTCCGCGTCGCGCAAACGGAACAAAATACGAGAAGTATTACAAAAAGCATTGCGAGAAAGTTTGCGACAGCGAACAAACCGCGCGCGATAACCGCCCATTATTTACTATTCGCCGGGAATCGGGTGATTAACCGGCATTAACGTCGTCGAGCCTGTATCGGAAATCGAGCTCTGTAGGTTGCTCCTGTGGGCTTAGAATCTACGTGCAATGCGGATATTCTGCCGGGAAAATCGATAACTCGTGTCAAGAACCTGTTTCTGGCCACTCTAAATCATGTGAAATTTCTCGAGTGCGAACAGAAGAGGAGAGGAGAGAAAAAAAGGAGAAGTTCCGCATCATGCGATACCATAACTCTCTCCGCCCTTTCCGGTCACATCGTAAACATTACCCTTAAAAATTCCCCTCGCGAGCCGGCCGATCCCGTTGCATTAAAAATATCTCGGCAATCTCGTCCGCGATATTAAACAGAAGTTATTTATCGTCGTTATTAGATCGGCCGAAGAGATACCGAAGAAAGATTTTTCCCTTAACGAACACACGAGACCGCCCGGTCAGGCTCGATTGGCACGGCTCCCATTAATCAACCGCGTTTCATTCGATTCCGGCAGACACCGAAACCACCCCCTCCCCTCTTTCTTCGCCGGCACGGCGCGGACCGACGGTGAGAACGTAAATAACAACGCGATAGAGCGGCCGTAAAAATACGATTAAACTCGAAAGACAACGGTCACGTTTCTTGCCCGTCTGTTTGCCCGTTTCCCGGTTTCCTCCTTTCCGCTTCTTTTATTTCCTCCCGGTTTCCGTGACCGCCTCCGGCACTAATCACCGAATCGATGTTCCCGGAAAGATTCAAGCGGAGCCCGTACGTAACAACCGTTTCAGTATCGCCATAAGCAGGAATTCATAGACACGTGTCTGGCGGAGAAGGAGGCGCTGCGGAGGGAGAAGGAGCGGAAGGAGCACGAGCAACGGAGCGCGATCAGGATCGAAGCCTGGTGGCGAGGCGTCATGGTGCGCCGGAAGTTGGGACCGTATCGACCCGAGGAGAAAAAGAAGAAGCGGCCCAAGACCAAGAAATAGCTCGGCGGTCTCGGCGAGCTCCGATCAAAACCCTCTGCTTCGCTATAATATACATATAATATAGTAAATAAAATTGTCTTCTATTCTACGGATCTTAATACTCGACGGAAACCTTACCACCGCGCGTTGTACATCGTTGCAGCTCGCTCTCGTTGCGGGATCTCGTACGCGAAATCACGATTCCTCTCCTCCTGTTCCTGACACGGTGCGACCCCGAGGAACGGTCGCCGGTATACACGGTATTGTTCACGCAAGAACCTCGTTTCCCTTCCATTGCAGGACTTCCCGAGTATCCTGCGGTGGTCAGAAAAGCAACGCGGCGCACCGTAATAGTCCGCGTGGCTCGCCACCCTCGGCCGCATGCAACACGAAACAGCTTGTCTCGCGTTCCCCCCGCGGCCCCGTCGAACGCTCGCTACTATTTCGAGCCTTCGAAGATTGGATTGCCACGACTGTATCGCTGTACAACCTCGGAACATCCTGACTTTTTCTCCCGAAGCTTCTCGATAGTCGACCGTTCTTCTTAGTCGATGCCGCGCGTGGGCGACTGTTCAACCTGAATACCGGACGACTAACTATCCAGACGGTTTTACCGACAACAAGATAACTTCTAGTACACCTACTTGGAACAACTTCCGCTTGGACAAAGTTTCCTAAGTTCTTCGGAACGTAGCTCGCATTCGTGGGAGCCCCGCTGCCGTCGCGGACCATCCTCGGAGCGAAAAATCATTCTCCCCCGTCCGACGGAGATTCGCGAAGGCTCTCCGAATTACTCGATGCTGTTGAAGGTTGTCCCTGCGACGGACATAATATTTTAAATTATGGTATTACATTGTTGTACGATGAGCTGCGTCGCATCTGGCGAGAGAGTGCGACGACTGTCTACTGTCTGCGTTGCTCTTCTTTTTTTCTTGAGGCTTAGTTGCCTACGGACGAGCGAGGTGCGTAGTTGTGCCTACGGAACCATCACCCGTAATATCGATTAGCTTTATGTGTGTTTCCTTTCCTTTTTTTTCAATAAAAATTAACTCTGTTACAATTATTTACGTTGCCTGTAAAAATTCAACAGATGCAAATGCGAACGAATTTAATCCCGATTTAGTCGGCCGGCGTCCGAGAGAGGAGCTCGGGACACGGGGGTCTCGACTTTTTTCCCCGGTGACCATCGCGCCGAAAACGCACGGAACCGGCTCGTTCGACGGAAGCTTTTCGACGTTTTGCCGTGCGCCTACTTCTAGCGTGCAGCCATGCGAACCGTGACAACCGGGTCCCGAATACCACGCCGATCGTTGTTTCCTCGTTGTTCGCTCCCCGCGAATTCTTCTTGCGCCGCCGGTGGTCGAACTGTACGAAAAAAAAAAAAAAACGTTGAAATAAAGACATTATTTTCGATTCGCGTAACTGTGCGCTACCGGATAGAATTAAATGCCCGGCTTGCAATGGGTAACTATGTTCCACGATGCTCATGAATATTCCATCTTTCCATTATCGTTTTACACAAGAATTCTGATTACGTTTACCGTAGCACCTCTGCCCGAGACACGAAGACATCGTGTACGAAAATATTGATACATTAGCTGGCGCAACACGAGAACATGGTAAACCAATTTCGAAGGCTCCGTCTAAACTTTGGAATATTCATCGGCAAACAACGTTATCTTCTCGCGATTTTAAATAAGACCGAGAACGCTGGATTTCCTCTGTCAAATGATCCCCGACGGAATTAAATCGGACCGGCGAGAATTCTGGCGGGTATCGGCGGCAACGGTTTGTTTGTCTGTTTGTTTTCTTTTTCTCTCGCTCCGCGAGGATATACCGTCTCTCGGACGGGTCTCGTAGCGCCTCGGTGACACTGGTCATCACTTTGTCGAAGGGAAAGTTGCTGGCTAGGTGGCCGACAACGACGGGCCGTGCATTTTCCTTCATGAGAAATTCACGAACCTTCTAACCTACTCTGTTTGAAAGCATGCAAGCTCACCCCCGTGACCGTGCGGCCAGCCACCTCCTTAGATTACGATATAAGGAATGGCTAACGCGATGTGGCGGTGCACGCACCCGATAGTGCAGTCAGCATACATATATGCATCGCTTTCCTGACCCAGCTTTTATGCCGGCTGCGTGCTAAATCGTGGCACGAGCGAACCTGCGAATGATACCTCTTAATGAAAAACATCGGGAACACCGGACGAAAATTCATTTCTGTATATCCCATGTTCGGTATCCTAGTTCCGAAGATCGTTTTAACGTCGGCACAATGCAACTTTGAATACGTAGAATCATTGTCTTGTTTCTATTCGAACTGCTAGACAATTCGATTAAGCTATTTTATAGCGATCGTTGTTGCATACGTTTAGCATTTAACAGAATTGGACCTCGAACGATTAAAAATAACTTTAAAACGTCTGTTCGCGGATACGGTAGAATTCTCAGAGATACTGTCCCGGTTCCGAGAATGTCGGACGATCGAATGTAACGGATAATTGGTTTAAAAGTTGGACTTCTGCTGACTTTACGCATCGAAATTATCCAACTGCTTTTTGAAGTTTGATTTCCTGTTTTATGTTAGTTACTTGTACTCTGTGATGTTGTTACCTGTTTTCTTTTTTCACGCGATATCGATGCAGTTAGATTCCCGCGAGTAGAACTGTGACCTTTGTTCATTGTTTCATGTCCTAATTGTGCCATAATTAATGTTTTTCAGCGACTCTGCATTATGCATAACGAAGGTGACAACAGCGCCTCTTGCGGAGAAAAACTGAAGCTCCTTTCGGCGTTCGTACAGCGCCAATTAGTCCGGTGGCGAAACGCTCAAACTGTTGGCCAAAACAGAACTTACAAATCTCGACGCAAGAGGCGCCTCTGTTTGGCTAGCGGTTTGAGCGTTTTGCCGTTTACTAATTGACGCTGTACGAACGCCGAACGAAGCTTCGAAATTTCTCCGCGACGGCGCCACTTGTCGTAAATAGCATTTTAAAATGTTCAACGTTGCATGCGTAAATAACCCTTTCTGGCTCGAAACCGATGCAAAACATTTACATATAATAACAGTTATCATATTTTAAACAAAATGATAACAAAGAAAAATCTACAGACAAATCTACCAATCCGCGTCCAAATGCCCAGTTCGATGAAACATTTTAATACAAATTTTTCAAGTCCAGCAAATAATCAATTTCTATTCGATAACAAATTTACTAAACACGCATTTGCCCGTTGATTAATTCGTAGCACATGCACATACCTATCAATATATTGTATAATAATAATTCAGAGTGTCTCCACTTGGCGCTGTTCGCAATCTCTCAGCTTCTTTTCAGTTCAGGAGTCGCCCGTGCTTGTACTAACTTTAAATGAACTATTGCCTTTTTTGAAGTGTTCCTCGCGTGGTTTGCGTATTGCAAATACTGACTCAGTGATTATGGGCGGTGAAGAACGATTAGGAGTGACTACCGGTCAGCCAAATCTTTATAAACAAGACCTATCGAAGCTAGTGAGTAGTATTGAAGCCGATGTGTCCTAGTAGTCTGACAAGCTTTCATCATACTTCGCATAACCTCAATTTCTGTTGCTGCTGGCATACTGTAATGCTTTCCGATCGCATTTATTTTGAATGAAAATTGTCGCCGATATACACGAAGGAAAGTGAAATCGCGTTCAGATAGTGTCCACTTTGTTGAGAAATTCTGTTAAGTCGTCACCGTTTAAATTATGACAATCGTTAATGACATCTGCACTTGATCCACGGTGATACGATTACATTTACAACGTTTTATCAATTGTTACTGTCATATCGTCGTGTCAGTGTACCCGATTTTGTTATTTCTGCATCGTTCTATCTGCGAAGAAACAAACTTTTATAAACATATTTCGAATATACTTTTTAAATTAAAACATCTTTTATTACCTAGGATGTAAGTAAATTAACTGCGTTATCACCTGAGGTCATCAGTAGACAAGCTACGATCAATATTGGTAACTATAAAGTTTTTTTTTTAAGCAATTACACATTGTTAAATACATATATACAACGTATATATATATATATATATAATGTATGATGTTACTTTTATGCAGGTACTATTGGTCATGTAGCTCATGGAAAATCCACAATTGTAAAAGCTATATCAGGAGTACAGACTGTTCGCTTTAAGAATGAATTAGAAAGGAACATTACTATCAAACTTGGTAAGTAGATCGAGGCATTTATATTATATTGGATCTAAGTGTTTTCCTAAAATTTGCATGCAGCATCGGCCGTGTAAAAGATTTTTTTATATATGAAACAACTTTCTTCTTAATTTATATTAAGCACTGCGTGTTTAATGTGTATCGATAAACAAAATATCGATCAATTCTATTCTGTATAAATAAAAATCTGCTACATTTTGTTCAACGAATTGGTATGATGAAATATAGTTTCATCGATTGATACTTGGAAAATATCTAGTGATTTTTTTACACTACTTTTCCCTAGATGGGGTCATAATGTTATTCCATGTTGTGTTTACCATCTATCTCTATTTTATATAAACTTATGGATTGCTTTTGCAATGTAATTCATACAAGTTGTTATTTTTTTATACCTGAAAAAATAATGTACTACGTGTCAAATAATATGAATGGAAACCCTACTATAGAATTGCGCATTTTTGTGAGGTATTTCGACGTGTTTACAACAATGTGCGAAACAAGATCTTACGGAGCGCGAATTTAAATTACGTTATATTTTTCGAAAGCAAAGTTCTAAATTACAATGTCCGCTATTACCGCTACAATAGCTGCCCACTCCACTAATTAGGTGAAGTGTATTGTTCGATTATTGTGACCACCAGTGAATTTTGAGCCCTCTCTTTGGAAAAACGACTCTAGTGAACTTGAGTGTGTGTGGGGAAACAAAATGGGATAACGGAGTGAAAGACGCTACGGGGAACGTTCACGTAACCTATGTGATGTGTCCATTCGCTTAAATGTCGTGTTAATGTGTGGCCTTTCACTCGCTTGGCATTAGCACTCCTTGAAGGCAGCACCGTCTCGATACGTCGTCAGCCAATGAGAACAAAGAAGAAATAACTTCCTCTACTTCCAAGCGTGCTTCGAGCGAATGCATACAAGATGGTAAAGAGCGTTTACTGAATAATTCTGAAGGTGGCGTCGTTTTTGTTTGACGCCATCTTATAAATCCGTATTTCCGGATCGCGCGCAACAATGATCATTTTCCATTCCTTTAAGTTCTTATAGAACCATGGAAGTGGCACATCGTGTAAATTTATTTGAAACCCGCATTTTATGTTATTTAATTTAAGGTGAGACCAACAATATAATCACGTTATTTCTCTCCATTATTTTTTATTTAACTTTCTACATTCTGAAAGTTGTCATAAGGCAACAAACAAATGTTCGGGACAATATTGCATTCCGTGAATTGTTTAACATGTAATGAAGATTATTTTTGTTTTCCTCGAATCAGACAAAATTTATCTTCACGAAGTTACGGTTTATGTTCGTTCGTTATTGTTTACAGTTACTCTTCAGTGTTCGTAATGATTGACTGTTTCAATACATGCACTGCACATAATTGATTATACAAATCTCAAGACCTACATGCACGATCGATTAAAGCATACCTTAATAAAAAAATCTTTACAAGTACTGAGGATTATCTAAATATACTTAAATAAAAAGTGTTCTATAAGCAAATAACAGTGTATGTAAGTATAGTTTTATTTAGCTATAAGATCCACAAAT